ACTATCTTCCCACGACATGGCGGTCAGAGCGTGTCATCCCAAATAGAAATTTTGGGAAGGCCGACAAACTGCAGATTCTTTCGGACATCATCCAGGATAAGACGACCCGCCATGGAGGCCGCACGGCGGTACAAAAGCCGCGCTACGCCGCTCCTCATCATAAAAACGTCTTTTCTGTATTTAAAGGGAACCGCGGCGTAAATTGTATCCTGTATTGTACAATAGAACGCAGCCACACAAATATTCATCTGAACTAAACCTAAACTACATTCCCTGGAATTGCCTAACATCCCCCGCTATATGAATCGGCCGGCAGCGAGCGTCTCTTTCCAAAGTGCAGAATGAATCCTAAACTCATCACACACGTTACAATCTGATTGTACAATCTCCATTAAATCTACCAACAAGTATCTAATCTAATGCCCGATTGGATGCATAGTGATTGGATAGTTTGGGTAGGTCCCTTATATTAGGGTACATAGTTTTGGTGGATCTAAAGTCAGCGGCGTCACCAGGCCTGCACCAGGTGACACCCAGTGCGCACATCAATACATATACACGTGATGTCATTACTAGGGATGGTCTCGATGTTCCAGTCCAACAACAGTTCCACTCGAACATAACTGGTTTGTGAGTACAGTGAGCACACAAACTATCAGGGCATTCGCCGGGCTTTTTGCCACCCAGCGCCCCACAGGGCATTGCACAGTGCCTTGTGAAGCCCTGATTGGGTAAAGCCTTGCACCTGACTGGTCAGGTGCAACACTTTGCCCAATCACGGCACAGTGCACTGTAAGAGCCAAGATTAAGCAAAGTAATGATGACTTTGCCCAATCATGGCTCACAGCTAAGTACTGTCAGGTGCCAAACAAATGTAAACAGTTGGGTGGAGCTAGTGGGGATGTCGCCGCTAGCTCCGCCCAATTGTTTATATTTTGCCGGCATCTGTCAGAATGCCATTCTGCGGCGGGAGTTCGTCGCAAGTGGACAGGTCGGCGGGCGTCGGGTTTTTGTTTTCTTTATTATTTCTATTTTTTTTATTTCGTCAAGTCGTCGTCGTGGACAACGCTGGGCGTCATGATTGACACTAGGATTACGCCGGTGGATGCATTTTTGGGGTTTTTTGTTTTTAATAAAAGACTTGGCAAAAACTTGTCTTTTGTTTGTTTTGTTTTTTCAATTAAAGGATTTTTTTAACAATTTGAATGTAATCCTTTAGTGAATGGGTAGGGGTACAAGTACTCCATACTTATTCACAAGGAGGGGGGCTGCATCTGGGTGCCCCTTTATTAAAGGGGTACCCCAATGTGAATAAGCCCCCGTGCCCGCACCCCCACAACCAACGCCTCAGGGCTTGTGGGGAAGAGGCCCTTGTCCCCATCGGCACGGAGACAAGGTGCTTTTCCAGGGGCTCCACTTTGAAAAGCACCCTTCCAGTGCTGAGGGCATGTTGCCTGGTATCGCAGGGAGGAGGGGGGTGGGCTCTCGTGCGTCCCCCCCTCCTTTCCTTCCTTGCTAGGCCTGTGCTTGGATCAAGGGTCTGGTTAGGAATTTTAGAGGGGACCCCCAGGTTTTTTTCTGCTCATTTTTAGGGGTGAGGTTCCTCCTTAATATTCCTACCAGACGTGGTATGACTTTGAGGGGGAACCCCACACGCTTTTTCTTGAGTTTTTTTTAAAAATGAGGTCCCTCCTAACATTTCTACCAGACCTTAAGGACCTGGTAAGACTTTTGGGGGGAACCCCATGAGCTTTTTTTTTTAAAATCCCACCTAACATTCCTACCAGACCTAAAGGGTCTGGTATTGTTTGGGAGGGGGAACCGCAGTTTTGCTGCAGCAGGTTCTATACATCGTACAGATGCACCACTTTATAGGCAGGTTAAGGGGACCCCCCAGGCACCATATTTAAACAAATTTTTCATTTTTATTGTTTCACTTTAAGTGATGATAAAATCACTGTTCCTTTAAAAAGGTTATTTTTTGCATTGATTCCTGTCCCCCAGGGCAGTACCCGGATCCCCATACACCTTTTATGGCCAATAACTTGCATATAAACCTTCAAAATGAGGACATTTGATTTGCTGAGTTCTGGTCCCATAGACTTTCATTAAGTTCGAGTTCAAACTTTTTCCATATTCTGAAGTTCGAACTCGAACCAAACTCAGGTGTGTTCGCAGGCCCGGATTCCCCACAAGGCCACCGAGGCCCGGCCTCGGGGGGGGGATTGTGGGGGTGGCAGAGCGCAGAGGGGCGGCAGCGGTGTCCTTGTGGGGAAGTTGCCCTCTGTACATTCAGTCCTGCTTTGTACAAGCAGGACTGAATGTAGAGTGAGGCAGACGATTTTTCGTTTACATGTGAAATCGGCGATGTCTCTGATTTCACATATAAACAGTGTGCAGCCTCCTCCCCTCCCCCGTGCACTTACCTCTCTACTTTGGTTCCGTCCTCCGGCGCCGAGTCTCTGACTGCAGTGAGCAGAGCGGCAGGGTTATAAGTAACCCCGCCGCCCTGCCATCTGGTTGCCATTCTCCATTGATGGGGAGGGGGGGGCATTAGAACCTGGCCTTGGGTCAGCAGGGAGACTAAATCCGGCCCCGTGTGTTCGGACCATCACTAGTCATTACACACACATAGTGACATCACGTACACTAAGGCAAAGAGAGTAGGGGACATTCAGCCGGCAGGAAAAGGTATGCTGACGGGTCCCCTCCTATCTCTCGAGCAGCTGTTGGCCTCTCAGCACTTCCACTCACCTCTTTACCTTCCCAAACATCTGCGCATTTCCCAAAATCTTCCCAAAGTCAATGTGGAACATGTGACCCGTGCTGGTCAGCATTATGTTGTCGTTGTGGCGGTCACAGACACCCAGGATGAAGGTGGCGACGCACCAGCCGGCGCAGGAATACAGAAAGTTATCTGCCGCCTGAGGAACAGAGCACAGAAAATTATGTATTAGACTGGTACCTTGTACATGAGTCATGTGTATTATACATGTTAGAGACATTCACGTCTGCCGGCTAAACACATACAGATATGCTACATCCATCATGGAAAAGGATATAGGTGTTTGAGTAGATCATAAACCAGGGGTAGGCAACCTTGGCACTCCAACTTTGGTGAAACTACAATTCCATCATGCCCCTGCCTCTGGGAGTCATGCCTGTGGCTGTCAGAGTCTCGCAATGCCTCATGGGACTTGTAGTTCTAAAGCTGCTTGAGTGCCAAGGTTGCCTACCCATGTCATAGACTTAAGCTGGCCATACAGGGCTTGAATTTCAGTGATCTGCAGCTCAGACACAATCTACTGAGTTGGCTAGAACGGTCTCCTGAGGAGCTCAATTCCCCACGGTCACAGCTCTTACTGTAAAGAAGCCTTTCCTTATGTGGAGCTTGTCCTGACTGACAACCTCTGCACTGATATATACCGATCAGCCATAACATTATATCCACTGAGAGGTGAAGTGAATAACATTGATTATATGGTTACAATGGCACCTAGTATTACAATGCCACCTGAAAGTTTGGGGGGTGGGTATATTAAAATGGCGCCTGGAAGGGATATATTACAATGGCACCTGGAAGTGGGGAGGGATATATTACAATGACACCTGCAAGTGTGTGGGGGGGAGGGACATTAGGCAGGAAGTGGACATTTTGTCCCTGAAGTTGATGTGTTGGAAGCAGAGAAAATGGACATGTGAAAGGATTTGAGGGACTCTGACAGGAGTTGAATTATGATGTCTAGACGACTGGGTCAGAGCAACTCCAACGCTGCATCTCTTGTGGGATGTTCCCGGTCTGCAGTGGTCTGGACCTACCAAAAGTGGTCCAAGGAAGGAAAACCGGTCAACCGGAGACAGGGTCATCAAGCCTTATTGATGTACGTGGGGAGGGAAGGCTGGCCGTGTAGTCCGATCCAATAGAAGAGCTACTGGAGCTCCAATTGCTGATGCTTAATACCGGTTCTGATAGAAAGGTGTCTGAACACACAGATAATTGCCGTTGGTTCTGTAGCTGTAGACCAGTCAGGGTGCTTATGCTGACCCGTGTCCACTGCAAATAGCACCTACAATGTCATTGTGAGCATCAGAACTGGACTGCAGAGCAATGGAAGAAGGTGGCCTGGTCTGATGAATCACGTTTTCTTTTACATCATGCGGATGGCCGGGTGCGTGTGTCCCCCTTGCCTGGGGAAGAGATGGCCCCAGGATGCATTATGGGAAGAAGAGAAGCCGGCAGAGGCAGTGTGATGCTTTGGGCAATGTTCTGCTGGGAAACTTCGGGTCCTGACATTCATGTGGATGTTACTTTGACATCTACCACCGACCTAGACATTGACCAAGTACCCCCCTTTATGAAAATGGTATTCCCCGATGCCGATGGTAGTATCCTCTTTCAACCACACTGCCAAAATGGTTAAAGAATGGTTTGAGGAACACAACAATGAGTTTGAGGTGATGACTTGGCCTCCAAATTCTCCAGATCTCAATCCAATGGAGCATCTGTGAGATGTGCTGGAGAAACAAGTCCGATCCATGGAGGCCGATCACCTCACAACTTATAGGACCTGCTACTGAGGGCTTGGTGCCGGATACCAGAGGTCTACTGGGGTCCATGGCTGGATGGGTCAGGGCTGTTTTGAGGCCGCTCAGTATTAGGCGGGTGGTCATATTGTAATGGCTGTTCGGTGTTTATACGGTAGATCGGTATGGCCGGCACTATAACGCCACACAGCCATGAATCTTCATTAGTCCTGATCTCCATCTCTGGAAGACTCTGACTCCTTCTGATTCATTAAGAGGTGAACAATGCGCGTCGGTCAGCGAGCGTCTCTCCTCACCATGATTAGCGCGCCGGCGCTGCGCCTCACCTTCCATCACATTAGCGGAGGAGGGGGGAGGCTGAAGGTTGATTAAAGTCTATCGGAAAGCAAATGGCTTGATAAATGAGAATTGGATTTTCTGTAATGAAGTCGGGGAAAGAAAAGGGCACAGCGGACTCTTCATCTGGGCAGAGAAATGAATATATTGCGGAGAATTATTCAGTCGCATCTCGCACGCTGTAACGCTGCATAATGGAACGGCGGCCGCGCAGACGCGGCAATGAAATTCTGCTGTTTAACCGAGCGGGCGGTCAATGGGGGCGCTGGACGGGGGGAGGGCAAGGTGATAAAAGGTTTGCTCAATGGTTATATAATGGATGGAATAAAGTCCTCAGGAAGTCTCAGGTCGTTCCTCTGCAGTTCTCATGCCTGCTGAACTATCATTCAGTCCTCATTCCCCTTCCAGTCCTCATTCCCCTTCCAGTCCTCATTCCCCCTCCAGTCCTCATTCCCCTTCCAGTCCTCATTCCCCCTCCAGTCCTCATTCCCCCTCCAGTCCTCATTCCCCTTCCAGTCCTCATTCCTCTTCCAGTCCTCATTCCTCTTCCAGTCCTCATTCCTCTTCCAGTCCTCATTCCTCTTCCAGTCCTCATTCCTCTTCCAGTCCTCATTCCTCTTCCAGTCCTCATTCCTCAAGATACTTTTCACCATTTATCCAAAAAAGCTAAAGCAGATGGTTGGAAATGGAATGAAGACTGAACAGAACCACATAGGGTGGCGCTTCCCAGAGGCTGCAATGGATGGGAGGGAATCAACATTGTGGATATTTCTAGATGGGAAATGACCAGGAAGGATAGAAAACTTCACTGTGACCTTCTTCTGGACAATCATAAGGCCAGACAACCGGCACTCTGCTGAAATGTCTTTTCTGGCTTTATAACAGGAGAGAAGGATGGAAGGCAGAGGACGCCCCACATGAGCAGAGAATGATTGGGATTGCACTGAGAAAGAGGGAGGCAGGTCAGTGTTGGGTTTCTCAGGTCCTCCATGTTGGCTCTTCGGCCATTGGGGTCCTTTATAGGGCGGAGCTCCAACGCGGCCGTACGCCCCTCTACGCTCACCTCAAGTGCAGGTCCGTAGGGGCAGACCCTGTCTGCGTCCGGGACAGGAAACCCGTACTCCTACGGACCTACACTTGAGGTGAGCGTAGGGTGGCGTGTGACCGCGCACGGAGCTGTACGCGCCGGCCGATTCCAGCGTGAATGAGGCCTTACCGTCATTAGACATACAGGGGGGAATTTATCAACGCTGGAGCAGTTGCCCAGGGCAACCAATCAGCTTCTCTCTTCAGGTTGTTCAGTTAAGATGTGAAAATGAGAGAAGCCGATTGGTTGCTGTGCACAGCTGCTCCAGATTTGATAAATTCCCTTCCCAGTATCCGATACCTGCTGCGTCAGACGTGTGCGAGTGGTATCATTACTCCCAATACTCTGGAGGGGAGAGGAAGGGCCGTACCATCTTACTGCCTCCGAACCACTTCTTCATCGACGAGTCTTTCAAAGGGCCAAAAAGGCCGCCGGCGTTCTGAATCTTGGCGAGGGTTGTGGAGTCCGGGACCATCTCAATCAGACCTAAGAGAAGACAGAGGACAAGGATGACAGAATATCCAGGGACTGGGATGTATCTATCATTGGTACATCGGCTTTCCAGACCTTTCCAAAATCCAGGTTATGCTTTTCAGCAAACACAGAGAAAATCATTACCGTTCTGGTATATACTTTTACCTAAAGGCAGCCGAGCCCCTACCTGGAAGACTGGAAGTCTCCATCTGTTTCCTTATATTACAGCTGAGCCCCTACCTGGAAGTCACCATCTGTTTCCTTATATGACAGCTGAGCCCCTACCTGGAAGACTGGAAATCTCCATCCGTTTCCTTATATGACAGCTGAGCCCCTACCTGGAAGACTGGAAATCTCCATCCGTTTCCTTATATGACAGCTGAGCCCCTACCTGGAAGACTGGAAATCTCCATCCGTTTCCTTATATGACAGCTGAGCCCCTACCTGGAAGACTGGAAATCTCCATCCGTTTCCTTATATGACAGCTGAGCCCCTACCTGGAAGACTGGAAATCTCCATCCGTTTCCTTATATGACAGCTGAGCCCCTACCTGGAAGACTGGAAATCTCCATCCGTTTCCTTATATGACAGCTGAGCCCCTACCTGGAAGACTGGAAATCTCCATCCGTTTCCTTATATGACAGCTGAGCCCCTACCTGGAAGACTGGAAATCTCCATCCGTTTCCTTATATGACAGCTGAGCCCCTACCTGGAAGACTGGAAATCTCCATCCGTTTCCTTATATGACAGCTGAGCCCCTACCTGGAAGACTGGAAATCTCCATCCGTTTCCTTATATGACAGCTGAGCCCCTACCTGGAAGACTGGAAATCTCCATCCGTTTCCTTATATGACAGCTGAGCCCCTACCTGGAAGACTGGAAATCTCCATCCGTTTCCTTATATGACAGCTGAGCCCCTACCTGGAAGACTGGAAATCTCCATCCGTTTCCTTATATGACAGCTGAGCCCCTACCTGGAAGACTGGAAATCTCCATCCGTTTCCTTATATGACAGCTGAGCCCCTACCTGGAAGACTGGAAATCTCCATCCGTTTCCTTATATGACAGCTGAGCCCCTACCTGGAAGACTGGAAATCTCCATCCGTTTCCTTATATGACAGCTGAGCCCCTACCTGGAAGACTGGAAATCTCCATCCGTTTCCTTATATGACAGCTGAGCCCCTACCTGGAAGACTGGAAATCTCCATCCGTTTCCTTATATGACAGCTGAGCCCCTACCTGGAAGACTGGAAATCTCCATCCGTTTCCTTATATGACAGCTGAGCCCCTACCTGGAAGACTGGAAATCTCCATCCGTTTCCTTATATGACAGCTGAGCCCCTACCTGGAAGACTGGAAATCTCCATCCGTTTCCTTATATGACAGCTGAGCCCCTACCTGGAAGACTGGAAATCTCCATCCGTTTCCTTATATGACAGCTGAGCCCCTACCTGGAAGACTGGAAATCTCCATCCGTTTCCTTATATGACAGCTGAGCCCCTACCTGGAAGACTGGAAATCTCCATCCGTTTCCTTATATGACAGCTGAGCCCCTACCTGGAAGACTGGAAATCTCCATCCGTTTCCTTATATGACAGCTGAGCCCCTACCTGGAAGACTGGAAATCTCCATCCGTTTCCTTATATGACAGCTGAGCCCCTACCTGGAAGACTGGAAATCTCCATCCGTTTCCTTATATGACAGCTGAGCCCCTACCTGGAAGACTGGAAATCTCCATCCGTTTCCTTATATGACAGCTGAGCCCCTACCTGGAAGACTGGAAATCTCCATCCGTTTCCTTATATGACAGCTGAGCCCCTACCTGGAAGACTGGAAATCTCCATCCGTTTCCTTATATGACAGCTGAGCCCCTACCTGGAAGACTGGAAATCTCCATCCGTTTCCTTATATGACAGCTGAGCCCCTACCTGGAAGACTGGAAATCTCCATCCGTTTCCTTATATGACAGCTGAGCCCCTACCTGGAAGACTGGAAATCTCCATCCGTTTCCTTATATGACAGCTGAGCCCCTACCTGGAAGACTGGAAATCTCCATCCGTTTCCTTATATGACAGCTGAGCCCCTACCTGGAAGACTGGAAATCTCCATCCGTTTCCTTATATGACAGCTGAGCCCCTACCTGGAAGACTGGAAATCTCCATCCGTTTCCTTATATGACAGCTGAGCCCCTACCTGGAAGACTGGAAATCTCCATCTGTTTCCTTATATTACAGCTGAGCCCCTACCTGGAAGTCACCATCTGTTTCCTTATATGACAGCTGAGCCCCTACCTGGAAGACTGGAAATCACCATCTGTTTCCCTATATTACAGCTAGGCCCCTACCTGGAAGACTGGAAATCTCCATCCGTTTCCTTATATGACAGCTGAGCCCCTACCTGGAAGTCTGGAAATGGTTATCTGTTATTGTCACAGCTGTGCTCCTACCTGGAAGTTCCATTGGTGGTACTGGATATTCGATGGTCTCTGCTCTCAGGGATCACTGTGATTATTGATGGTCATTAATGTCTCGTCTGTTCCGCCATCATTGTCCGGCGGCCCCCACACTACAATTTCTGATTGTGAGATGACTGCAGTCACACCGCACAATGGCGGCCATGTTGGCACACCCCCCGGTTACACAGCTCACCTTGTTTCCTGCCGGTGGATAAACACCGATAAGTGACCATCCGCAGGTCCAGTCCTTCATGGAGCCAGATCCTGTCCATGAGATTGATGATCTGGAGGATGAGCATGTCCTGCCGGATGTCATCTCCTGCCTGGAGAGTCACAAATGTCACTCACTATGGACGGCACACAGACACACACCGAAATGTTCCACACAATGGCCCGGATCCCTCAAGCTGCACTTAAGGGGTGCTAAGGAATGCCTAAGGCATGCTGACGCGCCGCTCAGCCAATGTTGTCATACATGGAGTCCATCGGTGTGGGCAGCAGGACAGGGAAGTGTGGGTTGATTGCTGTACAGGGGGCTCTTTTATTGGAGAAGTGCTTTCACAACAACCAGTGACCTCTGTAGCTGCTGACACCGTGGATTCATTCATCTTCAACGTTTACAGAAGATACTTTCATCCAGCAATTCAGCTTCCCCTCTAACTACTTCCCCCCAGCAAGGACTTAGCAGCTAAGCTCCCCCCAATCTCCTCCCCACCACTCCGTGCACGCCCACTGCTTCCCCCTCCTAGCAGCCCAGCTCACTCTGCTCACCTCTTCCAGCAGTGACGTGGCTGTTTGCCAGCCCCCTAACCTTCAATGTAAATGCAGAACAGGAGGGAAGAGTGCGGAGACCCGGCTTGTATGGCACGGTGCCGCCCTGCAGCTACAGAGGTCAGTGAGGGCTTACGATGGCTCATTTAATAAACAGCGGCACCAGGGTGGGTGTGCAGCTGAAGTTATCACGCATGGGTGGTGAAAGATGGCCGCTGGCAAGGAGGAGGGGATATTGACCCGGCGGGATCAGGTATGCTGCCGGGTCCCCCCCCCCATGGTCCACACTCCCCTACGACGCCACTGTTCAGCAGCCAATCAGATTTCCCCGTGCGTCCCTCGGACTTCGGCAATCTAAATTCAGCCGCTCTTTCTTTATTGAATAAATCTGAACAGATTTCCTTAGGAAATAAAAGGCGGGTGAGGCGTCTCCTTACGCCAGGCGTTGGCAACTCCGGCCCTCCAGCTGTTGTGGGACTACAAGTCCCATGAGGCATTGCAAGACTGACAGATACAGTCATGACTCCCAGAGGCAGAGGCATAATGGGATTTGTAGTAAAAGCACAGCTGGAGGGGCGGCGTTGCCCACCCCCCCTGTTATATGACATCTCCATATGAGATGTCAGGAATTATATACAATCGGATTTTCTGGAATCCCGACTCTCCCCGCCCCCTCCAGGCGTTCAGCAAACGTTTCCCGAATGTCCATAAAAACACAGAGAACGCGACAGACAGCAGCTGCTGCCCCTCTTCTTCCCGGAATGGAGAATTGTGGGTAATGGAAGCACGTTTTTACATAGTTACATAGTATTTGAGGTTGAATAAAGACATAAGGTGTGTGTGTGTGTGTGTGTGTGTGTGTGTGTGTGTGTGTGTGT